TAAGTAGGTGCTTTAGACCACTGAGCCATCTCACCAGCCCTGTTGTTTTTTTAAAAGGAAGGTGGTGTCAGGTCTCGAAGGCCTGAGACACCGAATGAAGCAACCGTGATGGTGCTTCCACTACCCAAACACATACCCACGCAGGCGAGATGCCGAGCAATTCCTGTGTGCCTCTCTTTATTCTGGTGTCATACAGATGATGAAACTGAAGTTAGAAGGACGACATAACGTGTCCAAGAACCCACAGGGATGGAGACAGTACTCCATGCTCTCTAAGTGTCTTGGATTGAATACTGCTGATAGGGAGAGCCAGCAAAAATCATGGTCAAATTCATTATTTTTCTCACAAGTAATTCATATTGAAAATGAATGTTTCTTCACCGGCGGCAAGCTGATACCACAGAAGCATAACTAAGGTACTACAGCACACACTGAAGAGGCTGTTCAGGGGACCCAGCAAGGACGATGTGGTCATTAAACTCTGGATTTTTTCCAACACCCTTTTAAGTATCATCAATATAGCATGCGAGCAGTGCCATTTAAAATATCAGGGAAAAAACCTGGAAGGAGTTCAGGTCCACCCCAAAGGCCCTGAAACCACCAAAGCAGAAACCTGAGCAGGCCTGTGCATTCCATATATGGAAACCTGGGAATCTCCGTGATGCTCCTGGGACTATCCGGTTACAAGGGAGACCCAGAGCCGACCTTTCTTCCAGGGGACAATCGACAGAAGGCTGTATTTAATGGGACGAACTTACTTCCCATTAACAAGACTTCTAACCATGTACAAAGAAGGAAGGGAGGGTAAAGAAGAGGCGAATCTTAGTTCTTTAGGAGTTGGAAAGAAAGAACCAGCAAAAGCAGGTATTGTTTAGAAAGGCCATATGATCTACCCTGTTTTACATCCTTTGCTCAGAAAAGCACAGAAAGGCTAAAGAATAACAGAAACAAATCACTGGTAATTTGACTCTTGCATTATATATTTTTATTACATTCCTTTCACAAATACCCACGACATGTAACCGTTAAAGCATAGCTGCTGAGTGATTCTCATTTCGCTTCCTTCACTTTCTGGGCTGTAGAACCCTGTATTCAACCTGCCCAAACCACGTCTCCTGCGAGGTCACAAAGCCCAGCAGAACACAGCGCCCTTCATTCAGGACTCCCATCAGCGCACATCCACTTTTGGGGCCGGCTGCCACGCTGGAGTCTTCCTCAGGCCTCACATTTTCACAGGTAGCTGCTCATACATGATTGTTGGTTGAATTCACAAAGCACTTGCGTACACGTGTAAGTATCGCAATGCATCATCTCGTAGCATGTCTGCGCGGTCCTCTCGCGAGTAGGAGCTCCCCAAGTGCAAGGACAGCATCCTAGGCACCTCACTGCCTGGCACTATGCCCAAGAAGAGCTCCTAGCAAATAGCAGATGCTCAGTATCAGTACACGCTTGAATGGGTAAGCATAACATTTCTCCGTTGACTCAGGAGGAAGAGTGGGGGAATAATAAGCAGTACTACTGATGGAGAAAACGCTGTGTACTAGTGACACCCGACTCACAGGTGCCGAGCCACGGTGGGACAGGGCCCGTTTGTTTGCGGAGAGGGTTCGTTTTTCCCAAATTGCCAGGTGGAGCAATGATTCACAGCGGGGTGCTGAGGGCACATAGAAACACAGGTGCTCTTCACTTCAACAAGTCTAGAGGTAGGTCCAAGTACCACTGGGCAAAAAGGGAAACAGAACAGGTTCATTTCTTGCCCAAGTGCAGCTAAGTATCAGTCACTTAGCTTGGTGGGAAAAGATCAGTCATTTCCTTGGTGGGAAGGGTCAGGAAATCAAGAGTCATCCTTACTCTGAACGAAATTTATTTGCAGCAAATAAGGAAGCCACGGGAATCCAAACCAAAGTCGTGAGTCCCCGAAACTAAGTCAAGCTGCCTCTTGTGAGGTCAGGAATGCATGTTCTGGAAGGGGGCACGGCTCGCTTCCCATGTCGTGGCATGGATGAGGCCTTTAGCTTTCCGCTGGGTGGAGATTTTATAAAGAAGCAAAGTTTGCCTATTAGTCCCAGGTACACCCTCTTTAGGGTAGTGCCTGTAACATTATTCTTTTTTTAAAGGTATATTCGTACAAGGCGAACGGGGTCTCATTACTTAGATCCGACTCGTAATGATCCTCCTGTTTTCAGCCTCCCAAGAGCTGGGATTACAGGCGCTAGACATCAGGCCCAATCTCAGTCCCTGTCTCAGTGGCCCCTGGCGCCCCCCACCCCACGCACGTGGTGTGTGTGTGTGGTGGTGGGGGGTGGGATCCTGGTCCCCGCATCTGCCTAAGCAGGCGCTTTAATCCGCTGAGCTACCTGGCTGGCCTGTAGAACATTACTCTCAAGATCAACTTTCCCTCGGCGCTCTGAGGAAGTCTGCATCCTCTTTCCCAGGCGGCCCCTCTGCTTGCAAGACCAGATGCCCACTCCGCTGGACCAGCTGTCCTTTCTCCTTCCAGGATTCCCTCAACCCTTTCAAGTCTAGCAAGGTGACCGCAGGAAAGCAGGGCAGGGAAGGTTTCCGGAGATTGAGCCTAGGGCCAGAAGGACGATACCGTTTTATATTTTTATTCTCGCCCTTCTATTTTTTTTTTTTTTTCTGGCGAAACCGGGGATTGAACTCAGGCCCTTGCGCTTGCCAGAGAAGCGCTTATTCCACTGAGCCATCGCCCCAGCCCCTATATTTTTATTCTGGCGGAGTCCGCACCTGGGTTGTACATCTGGGCGCGGCACGAATTCGGCATTGTAATCTTGGTCCTTCAGGGCTTCCGTAGATCAAAATCAATTTAGAAAACCAGTATTTTAGGGACCAGAACAATCAATAGTATTTTAAAATTTATTTACTTCTGTGGGCCTGAGCGCGAACGCTAAAACGTCATTCCTAGCTGATTTAGAAAAACCGCAAGGGGACTACAACGCCCACGCTTGTCAGGACAACCCTTCCCCGGCCAACACAGGAAGTGCCCTGCCTGTGACGTCACTTCCGCCGCGCTCTGGGCGGTGCCAAGATGGACGCGCCCTGGGCTCGCGAGCAGCTCCGCCGGCGCTACCTGCTGCCCGCCGACGCCGAGATCCGGCTGGACCGCGAGGGCGACGCCGGGCGGGGTGAGGCGCTGCCCCGGGCTTGCCCCGCGCTCCCCGAGATCCGCTCGGCCCTTGCGGGCCGGGGAGGCCGGGCTTCGTCTCCCGAGCCGTCCGAGCCGTTTCCCGTTGGGACTCCCCGGCCGGCGGGCGCGCAGCCGGCGCGGAGGTGCGCAGTAGAACGCGCGCCGGCTCCGAGTCTGGAGGATTCGCCAAAGGAGCGCGTTTGACTCGTTAACGGAGACGTCGTGCGCGTGCAAAATGTCTCTTGTTTTCCTTTCTTTTTCTTTTTTTGCTGGTACGGAGAATTGGACGCAGGGTCTTTGCACAGAGCTCCACCCCCAGCCTGAGCTCCTTTTCGAACTTTGAGACGCCTGCCGAGTTGCAGCCTGGCTGAATTTAGATCTTCCTGCCTCAGCTACCCAGGGTGCTGGGGTGACCGTACAGGCTGTCGCTGTCACGTCTGGCTTGCGTGCTTTTTACATATAGACAGATTTTTAGTACCAGTGTGGATGGTTTTCGAAGGGAATTGTGTGCGGCTGTTTGGGTAGCAAACATAACTTGTGTGTCCACCCCCGGGGAAGTCTAGAAGGTGGAAGAATTCCCTAGAGATTGATAGCGATGGTTGCTTCTGGGCGGAGGAACTGGGGATAAGTAAGTAAGGAGAGAATTCATTTTAGATCTTTTTATCGTGTATATTGCAAAAACCATGCCTGTATATTACCTTTACAAAATAAATACAAATTTTATACCCCAGCGTAGTGATTTCTAAGTTTTAAGGGTATCCCCCAGGGTCTGTGTTATGAGCCAGCTCCCCAGGGAGTCTGATGTCATTTCGAGGCCCAGGACGCCCCATTTAGACCGGTGGTTCTTACGTAAACCTAGAGGGCATGTCAGAGGCCCTTTTTAGTTCGTGTCCCACGTATCAGAGAGGCTCGTGTTTTATCTACTGAGAATGCTCACTAGAGCTGTGGTTTCCCCTCTCTAGATGACCTGCCTCAGAAAGGTGTTTGTTTAAAGTAAAATCGTCTGTTGTACAGCGTTCTTGGAAAATCACATGTCAGTTTCATACTCTCATATTTCATTTGGCACTTTTAAATTTAGTGAATGGTTTTTTTGGTAACGGGATCTAATTTAGGACCTGCACTTGCCAAGCAGGGGCTTATGCCACTGAGCTATATCCCAGCCCCTCATTTGGCGGTTTTAAAACCAGACTAATTATTGTCACAGTCAAAATGTGAAACATAATAATAAAATTTCTAGACTTAGATTGCACCAGTGTATCCAAAAGATTGTAAGAGTATGCATTTAGTTTCAAAATTCAAATAAAGGAAATAAGTTGACTATATTGGGCATAGTTTATAGTAGGCTCCAATTAGTTATGTAAATATAACCCTATCTCGATTTATAGAAGGATTTAGTATTAGGGAAGAGATTGTGGTTATTAGGAAGCACCAGGCAGTGACTGCTTGGTTTGAAATAGACGCCATTTTTCTTGCAAAACTATAGTAAGTTGAAATCTTTCTTTTTTACAGAAAGCTCTACAACTGTTGAGAGAAAGGAGAAACCTCTTCCAAGACTTAATGTCCATTCTGGCTTCTGGATTTTAGCATCCATCGTTGTGACCTATTATGTCGACTTCTTTAAAACCCTTAAGGAAAACTTTCACACCAGTAGGTAAGAAAACTTTATTGCTTCAGAGTTCAATAACCTTGTCTTATTTTTTTGTGTTACATTTTGTCATTTGAATTCTTCAGACATTTATTAAACTTGTAGACTCTGCTACACACCATGGAGGAGGTGCTGGTGATACAGAGAACAATAAGGGATGTTGGTGAAAAGGTACAACTTCCTGGTTCTAAAATGAATAAATTACTATATTGGGTAATTGACATTTGCTCGGAAGATGGACTTTGAGTGTCTTTATCACACACAGTGATAAATTTGAAGTCGTACATACTGATCCACTTGATTGGTCGTTTTTCAGTGTGTGCATCAGATCATCCCGTTTTGCACCTTGAAGATAATAGAATTGTATTTTGTCAGTTATGGTTCAAGAAAATGGAAAAAACAGGCGGATAAGAGGAAGTGTGCGCTGGCAGGCCCCGCAGAGGGATGCGACCCAAGGACTGTCAGCCCGCCTTTTCAGCCCAAATGTGTTGTAGGATGAGGAAAGCAGGGAATTTCGGTTCTTAATCCCTTTGGAGAACAGCGGAAGGAGAAACCTGGCCGAAGCTCTTTGTGAGGACAAAGGGCAGGACACTGGGAGGAAGTGACCAGTGAGAACCGGCTCTCTGGTGTGTTTCGGAGGAGTCGCAGCTGGCTGGGTAGGAGAGGCTGTTGTGGAGTTCGTTGGAAGCGGTGGTGGGAGGAGCTGGGAGTGTTCTGTTGGGCATCATATCCCCTCATTCATAGGGACTGAGATCTTCCTGAGTCTAATCTCAGGAGCAGAGATGGAGCAAAGACTGTGAATTAGACCCCAGGGTTCTGGGACAGATGTGGAGGGCCCCAGGGAACAGAGAAGGGAGCTGGTAGAGCTGGTAGTAGAGGATTGGCTCGCGAGGGGTCCAGAGCAATTAGGTGCAAGTGTTGGTGGCTCAGTGGGGTCTGGAGCCCAGCTGTGGTGGGGCCCCACCCAGGGCCTGGGAAGCTTGTCTGCTGTGGCCCTCTGCTCCCTCTGCGCAGTGTGGGTCATGGGTCTAAACCCCCGAGAAGCAAAGGGTGATGGGAGGAGGGAGGGAGCCCCCAAATCTGGCTTCCTGTAGCCAGCAAAGACTGGGAGGACAGGGCTGTCTAGGCGCTTCCAGTGGAAATGTAGGGAGGAAAACCATTTTTCTTTGGGTAGAACAGGAGGTGCTTTGGGTACATGCGAGGTGTCTTAGTTTGCTTTCGTTGGCTCTGAGAAAGTATCAGGTGCTGTGTGCTGTGTAAAGAAAAGTTTAATGGGCTCTTCTGGTAGCTAGAGGTCCAGGAAGTCTGGTGCCCTGCTGTGTCACAGCATGGCAGGAAAGCAGAAGGCAAGGTGACCGTGTAAGAGCGAGCGTGCACACATGTGCGTAGGGAAAATGAGAACCAGAGACAGACTAAGAGAGAACACGGCCAAGGAGAGGTCCCAGGCTTAATACCATTGGCTGTGGAAGGGACTGGTTGAGGCCCTGAAGGGCATGGACGCTTGTCCTGCAAGAACATAGACTCCTTCATGGGGCGGTCAGGACCCAGCTGTCTCCTGTGTCCCCTCCTTGTGAAGACCCCACTAGCTTCAACGCTGTTGCACTAGGGACCTGGATTTTGGCTCCTGATGCACAAATTGTACCCCAATGTTTGCAGGAGGCTCCTCCTCTTCTAAGTCTTTACCAGTTTTTTTTTTTTTTTGTTGTTGTCATTGTTTGTTTGGTTTTTGTATTTTTGCAGAACTGGGGATTGAACTCAGGTCCTTTGCGCTTGCCAGGGAAGCGCTTGTTCCACTGAGCCTTCTCCCCGGCCTGTCTAAGTCTTTAATGAGAGGTTTGCAGCCCATGTCTGTCTGCCTGCCTGTCAGTGTCCCCAGTGCTCTACTCACCTTGGAGGGCTCATGGTGTTCCCTGCCAATCTTTATTCCTCTTGCACTCGAGCCTCCAGAAGCAGCCAGGAAGCTGCTGTCTCCTGTGTGGCCTACATAGACCACCACGCTGAAATGGGACACCTTCTGGGCTGCTTGTCTGGGGAGAACAGAGTCAGGTGCGGATGTAAAGTCTCACTCCAATCCCGACCCGAGGCACGTGTCTCCTCAGCCTTGCCCCACGTTAGGTTGAGTCTTTCTGAAAGCTGAGATTGTGCAGTTGTGGGTTCTTTCGCGTCCCTCCAGGTGACTGCTTAGAAAAGTGGCCCAAGCCAGCTGCCAGGGAGCTGCGGCCGGCTGGTGCCCTCAGCCCTGCCCTTCTGTCTCCGCAGTTGGTTTCTCCTGGGCGCTGCTTTGCTGCTCGTGAGTTTGGCCGTGGCCGCCTTCTGCATCGTCTACCTGGAGTGGTACCATGGCATTGTGGAGTATGACGTCAAGTACCCGACACTGGTGCCCATCACGACTGCCACTTTCATTGCAGCGGGAATTTGGTATGTTAACTCAGAGGTGATGAGTGTGAAGGAGAGGCACGCCTTTTTTTCCTCATCAGGTGTTTTATAGTTTGATCAGATAGAGGCAGAGTCTCAAGGCCGACAGGCTCCTAGCCGCTCCTGTTGTTCAGGCTCCTTTGGTTGGTGCAGTTGCGCCTCAGTTCATGAACAGAAGTGCTCGGCACACTTGTGCTTCCGTTGGTGAATTCCATACTGCCTGACAGCACTGTGGCCATCTTCTCTGCATGAACTCGGACCATCTTGGGCCCAGAATTGTGGAACAGATGAGGTTCACAAGTCGAGCCACTGCCGTACCTCTTTTTTTTGTTTGTGCAATTTTTTTTTTTTTTTTTTTTTTTTTTTGCAGAACTTGGGATTGAACTCAGGCCCTTGCACTTGCCAGGGAAGCACTTATTCCACTGAGCCATCTCCCTGGCTCCTTTGTGCAATTTAACACATCATTTAGATGCAAATGATAGCACTTAGTAAAAGACAAATGATGGTGTTCTGTACACGTCTTGTGTTTTGCTTTTAAGTTTTCTTTATTGTGATTCATGGTACATACAATTAAGTATAAAAACAAATGTCCGGAGGAGGAATTAATCATGAAATGAGCACTGTGCTGTGAGCTGTACCTGGGTCAGGACCGCGCTGAGCCTGCACCCAGTGCCCCTTGTGCCCCTCATAGGATGGGCCTTCCTGCCTGCTGCCGGTAAATGCCGTCCCAACCTTTGAACCCCTTAAATGCTCGAGTTGTGTTTTGTCTGTCTCTGTCTGTCTGTCTCTTTCTCTTTTATTTTTTATTTACTTATTTATTTTTTTTGTAGAACTGGGGATTGAACTCAGGCCCTTGAGCTTGCCAGGGAAGTGCTTATTCACTGAGCTAGCTCCCCGGCCCGCCTCTCTCTCTTTTTTAATACTGGGGATGTAGCTCAGTGCAGAGGCCCTAGGTCAGTTCTCCTCCCCTTTCTTTATTTTGAGGCAGTGTCTTGATAAGTTACACAGGCAGGGCTCAACTTTGGGGTGCTCCTGCCTTAGCCTCCCAGGGTGCTGGGATGACGGTCCTGTGCTACAACACCCTGCTCACTGTGTCTGTTTTTGTGACCTGTGTGGACATGGGTTCACATGGTGAATTTATTTCACATCTGACTGCGTGTGGGATGCTGTCTGGTGCCTGTTGCTTCCCGGAGTTGACCTGTGTTGCTATTGACAGTGTGGGTTGTTTCTACTTTGTCACTGTTAGGAAGGGTGCTGTTGAGAACATGCTCGTGCCTGTGTCTTGCAGCACATGTGCACGTGAGGGTCATGTGTGCAGGTGTGTGTGTGTAGGAGTATGTGTGTGCACGTGTGCGTGTAGGTGCCGGGGGCTCGGCAGTGGTGGTGCATCCAGCCCTGTGTTCATGGGCTCCGCACCTGGACTCAGCCAAGTGCTGCTGGGGAAAGAGCAGCTGCACCTGTCCTGAGCCCGCACCCCTCCTTCTGGTCAGCGTCTGCCGAGCAGTGTGGCGCGGTAACTGTTCCCACAGCACTAATGGAGTGCGGGGCCGTAGAGGTGACCCCAGGCAGGACTCAGATTGTCTGGGAGCACACGCGTCTAGCCTGTGTGTGTGCTGTGCCGTGTGGCTTCCTTAACCCCATTCATGTTGCCCTTACAGTGTCACCCTTGTTTTTATTCTCAAACAGTGCCACAGTCAATGTACTTCAAATGTTAATAGGCACTTAGAAAAAAAGAGAGGTATTTAAAAGGTGTTATTTAAAAAAAAAGTATTATTTGTTCACTGAAGAAAACTCTACGTTACAGAAAGACAGAAAAAATACTTCCTACAATTCTGCCACTACTGTTGTACGAAGCTGTTTGTATTTTTCTTTCCTTAACGTATTTAGTACAGGCTCTATAGGGTCTCACTACACAGATCAGACTCGTGGTGATCCTCCTGTCTTCAGCCTCACAAGGGCTGGGATTACAGGCGCGTGCCACCACGCCCAGTCTGTCTCCTTTCAGCACACCCCAGGGGCGAGGCCGGTAAGGCAAGCTGGGAGTCGAACACCCATCCCTGCACCTAAGCAGGCGCTTTAGTCTGCTGAGCTGTCTGGCTGGCTCCTTTTGTCTTTTTTTATATGAATTGAGTTTTTATTTTGGCAAATACACCTTTATACATATCCAGCTTAGGTGTACTTTCTGTGACTTCATTTCAGTTAGAGTTTAAGGCCATTTGTCACTGTGCTCTGGGCACGAATGTGTGTCCTGTGGCTGAGACTGGCCCCAGAAATACTAAAACAATTTGTAGGCCAGTGGGATTATGATTATTTAAAGTTGATGTTTTATCAGGGCTGGGGCTGTGGCTGAGTAGCTCAAGTGTCTGCCTCCCCCGCACAAGGTCCTGAGTTTGATTCCCAGTACAAACAAAAACAAAACCAAAGACAAACAAACAAACAAAAAAAACCACCCAAAAATACTTGTAAAGGCAGGACGAGGCAGTGCACACCAGTAATGCCCACACTGGGAGGCTGAGGCAAGAGGGTCGTTGGGAGTTTGCACCCAGCCTGGACTACAGTGTGAGCTCAAGGTTGGCTTGAGCTGCATGGTGAGACCCCATCTCAAAAAGAACCCCCCAAAATGTATGTGTATCAACATATTTTACATTAAAACCAGTAACTCTGAAAAATTTATTTAATTATTGTTAGTATTGGTACTTCTGTTAAGTTCAGTCATTGAAGCCATTTTTAGTGTTTTATTTTTAATTTAGTGATGGGAAACAGTTTGTTCAGTGAGACACTTAATAGCGTCTTGCAAGTGGTTCCTCTTGTGCTTCGGTTTGCATTTGCTGGCGTGTGAGGCAGAAGAGCCTGCTGCGGCTCTTCAGTCCACGGGGTGCTGCAGATGCCAATCCGAGAGACTACGGTTTCTGTAGAGCAGCCGGGCTCCTGGTAAAGGCCAGGCGGGGTCCAGTTTCAGGGACTTGCACCAGGCCTGGAGTATGGATTGTGTTTTCTTTCTATCATTGCCTGAGTCACGTGGCTGAGAAATTACGGGACATGTGGAAAGTTTGCTGGCTGGATGAACCTTGTCACACAGTGCTCTTTATTTTAATTAATTAGTTTGTTTATTTATTTTTGGTTGTACGGGGGATCGAACTAGCATCCAGCGCTTGCCAGGCAAGCACTTACTTCACTGAGCTGTCTCCCTGCCCCCAGCACTGTGCCTTTAAACCCAGATTCCTGCCGAAGATATGCTTGTGTATATTTCACATTAGAGACCTCAACTCTCCTCACTGTTTTGGTCCTTTCAGTTTCAACATTGCTCTGTGGAACGTGTGGTCGTTCTTCACTCCACTGCTGCTGTTCACCCAGTTCATGGGGGTCGTCATGTTCATCTCACTCCTTGGATGAGGCGAAGGTAGGGATCCAGAGCAGTTCCTCCCGCGACCCCGCTGGGAAGCGTCTTCTGGGACAGTTGGAGGGGGCACAGCTGTACCAGACCGCTTCTGAGTTGCACCTGTATGTGTGCGGCACAGCTGTTCCCGCACTGACCTCTGAGAGACAGGGACCGAAACATCTGTCCATGTGTAGAATTCAGCTTTGAGCGTCTGCTGCTCAGGGAAGGCGGCCTGCACATCAGAGCCCCCTTAGGGACAGCGAAGTTCACACATGAGACTTCTGTTGCAGTCGGCTTCTGCAACATACACGTGAGGATGATTGGCCAGCAAATTCCTAAGGCATGGAAATGTGGAAAAATGGGCAATTGGACCGAACTGGGGGAAGATCTCTGCAGTTCATCTGTTCTGGCTGCCTCAGAATTTGATGGGTGCTACACACTGGCCTTTCTCTCCCATGCTGTGTGAAGAGTCGCTGTGCCCTTCGACCTTCCCAGGGCTGCTGCCTTGCACAGTGGGGTTGGTTTCTGAGCCATTTATTAGAGAAATGTGCAGTTCTGAGACTACCCCTCACAGTGTGCCTGGGGGCATAGTGAAAAGAGGGATAGGCCGTCCCCTCATGCCCCTCGTGCCAAGGGGCAGTCCCTGGGGGAAGTCATCCTCGGCAGCCTTTTGCACATGAGGACGATGAGGCCCGGGAATGGAAAGTTTTGCAGCGCGACAGTGTGTGCCCAGTGGGCGGCCCTCCCCCTCGGCGACCACCATGCACTTCTGTGGGTATGAAGGGTTGACCTCAGACTGCACAAAGAGGAACGACTTGGTCCTCTTACTGCCACTCTGGAAGTGGTTGCTGGCACCTGTGACAGTAGTTGTAGTGTCCTGCAGACATCACCCTATGTGGAGGGACCTCTGGGCCTTCCTGGGGGGCCCCTTGTCCCTGCTCATGTGTGCTGTTCAGGCCGCTCAGGGCTCTACACGTTCCCTCCTCCTGCCCTGCCTCCCACCCGCTCTCTCTGGTGGCTGCACGGGAGGTCTCCTGGGGCTGCTGGGACGCTCGGAGGCTCAGGAGCTCTGGGATTGTCATGCTGGGTAGAGGAGAAGGTGGTGCTGTCAGGGCATTGAGGTCCAACTGTGCCTTGATGTGAAGGTCATGAGTGGAAGACAGTGTTCGCCAGGGGACATAAGTGCTGGTTTCCTTTCAGCTTGGAGGACGTGGACATTCGGACGTTCCACCCGCTGAAGGCCTTGCGGACAGTGGAAAAGCTGCGGTGTGTTCGTGTGTCTTCGAAGTGCTACCTGGGACTCCTGGGAAAGCTTCAGCTTTGAAGCTCTGTTGTTGAAGTTAGGATAAAATTTATTTGTTTGCCCAAATGATTATTCAATTTTTCAGAAGTCTGTGTTACGTAGAAATAACTATTTTAAGAAGTTAATCTGAATTTTTGGAAGAAGTGGTAGTTTTCATTGTAGGTATATAACATGCTCTGACTATTTTGATAAATGCTGCTTTTCTTAACAGATAGGCAGTGTATTGTCTAAAATGCCCGGATGTGTGTGCGGAGGAATGGTGTTGCCGTGTGCCTTTAGGCCTGCTCTGGTGATTGCTGTGTAGCTCCCCTTACAGTAGCTTTGTCAGGTGGCGGGGCCAAATCGAAATGTCGTGTCTTCTCATCACTTTTGATTTTACCGTTGTGTACATTACTGGATTTTTAGCATTTTTAACTTCAACTTTGAATTATTTTATGTATGTATTTTTGTGTAACATTTAAATAAAATATTTTTATAATTTTCTCATGTATTTTTATTAATAAAACCTCAGAATAACTTGTGATTTTAGCTGTTAGCACCTTAAGTTAAATACACACATAATGAAGGCTTCTCTTCAGGGGTTACCGCGTGCCCGAAGGACCTCCAGACCGTAGTGTTTGTGCTTCTGAGTGCCGGCTGCCTGCATTTGCTGCTGTTGCAGCGTGGTGACACAGAGCAGGCCTGTGGCGATTCTTTCCTGTGAGGCTGCTGACCCATCGCCTGAGTTAGGGCAGACCACACCCTGCCACTGACCTGCTGCAGGCCTTTAGTCGTAAAGAACATTTCCCCAGTGCACACTGGGAATAATATCTGGGGTTGATGACGGTATAAATGATGTTTAGAAGACACTGCGTACCTGGCACATAGGTGCTCATCGTGAGTGGTAAGGAGAGACGGAGGAGCTGGAAGCTGGAATCGGGAGCTTTGCATCTCATCAGTGTGTGCTTAGGGACGAGTCAGGTGTCATCTACAAACTGAGCCAGTGTTGGCACACGTGTGAAGGGATGTGGAAGGTGCTGCTGAAAATGGGGAGCAGGGCTAGGCAGTGATGGACGGGCCCGGAGTGGGAGTGTCTGGTCCAGACCCGTGAGAACGGTGTGGGGCTAGACAGCAGTGCCCCGGTGACAGCTCCCACATGTATATATTTTTGTTCTCGAGTATTTTTGGATAGAAACCTGGGGCTGGGGTTTTTGGGTTAATTTGAGTTGTTCAGCCAAGGGCCAATATGGTGGCCAACAAGGGTCAATGTGTGCTTCAGTAGGGTCATGCTCCTTGTGAGAGAAATGGTCGATGCAGATAACAGCTGGAAATCTTAGCCTCAGAGCCAGGGCCCAGCGGCAGCAGGGTGTGCTCTGCCTGTGACAGTCAGTGTCCAGACCACACTCAGAGCCTGGTGCACACTCGCTGCACACCGGCCATCCAGCGTGCAGGGTCTGATCCAAAAGTGGGTGAGCCTGCCCTCGCATGATGTGTCCCCAGGTGAGCCCAGTGTGCCCAGCAGGGCACTACCCTCCTCCAGGCAGTTTGGGGAGAGACCTGCAGAAGCCAGGGCTTGGGACTGGCAGAAGGTAAAGCCGACTGAGTTGTAGTTTCCTAAGACAGAAACTAGACAAGAATTGCCATAGGTCTGCATCTGGGACCCTGCTGGGACGGAAGTGGTTTTTCTTGGGAACTTGAAACAGGACCGAAAGCTGGCTATATCCCAGAAGAGTGGTCTCTGGCTACACTCAAGCAAAAGAGATATATTCGAAAAGAATTGGAACCCGTAAAAAACAGGAAGAGAGTTTTGGGAGAGACCCCAGGATTGGGGAGTAGGAGGTGCTAGACATCCTCCTCAGGGGCCGCCGTTTAGGGTAATTATCTTCGTTCTTTAATAACTTACTTTTGTGCACTTTTGACTCAGTTGAGTAGGCCTCAGTGGGTTTTTATAGCTTCTGGTATTTGAAGATGCAGAATTTTAAAAAGTAATGAAATAGCAATCAGGGTTATTCTGTGTCCACTAGGGACTAATTTTAAAGAGGCAGCCTACAGGCTCTTGGTCAAGGAAGATTGGTGGTTGAGGAAGAGTTGCACAGAAGAGTCCGTTCCTCCTGCAGGGACCACAGGGTCTCCCGGGTCAGGTGTGCTGCTGAAGAGAACCTTTCCCATCCTGGTGGACATGGCGTGTGTAGCTGAGGATCTGTTTCTAAAGTGGTGTGGGCGGTTTGTTTGCAGTCTGGTTGTAACCTCTTTGTACCGCAGTTGGAGTATGTCATTGTGCCTTGAGATAGCTTGTTCCTATCAGCATACAGATGTTTTACAACACCCCATCTCCAAATGAACATAAAATGGAGTTCCCTTGTGCTCTTCCAGCCATTACCCCTTTCTTTGGGGCACAACACACCAAACCACCAAAGAGTTTTCCATACTTGTGTCTCCAAGTCATTTTTAAAAATTGCGTTACGACATGAGTGCAAAGGAGCATACGTAGTGTCCCAGTATATTTGTGGTGAAGAGAGGTCAAGAGGGATCGCAGGAGCTCTCCTGCTCCCAGCCTCGCCCTACTGTGGCGTCAGTGATGAACAGACTTGGAGCCCAGTGCCTCGGAGCCACACAGTTGGCACTCAAGGCTGGGTCCCCATGGGCTTCCCTGGGACCACTGAGACTTTTCCGTCAGTGCAGACAATGTGGCCAGCCTGCAGGTCTCTTCTCCTCTGGACTCTTGCTCGCTGTATGTTCTGGTTACGTATCACTGCGTAACCATCCACACCCAACCCAAGTGGTATAAAACAACGGCCTCCATTGATTGTGCTCAGGAATCGGAAACCAGAGCAGAGCTGGCACGAGCAACTTGTTTGCACTCTGGAAAGTCCAACTCAGCCTGTGGTAGGGCAGCCTCTTTCCCAGAAGGCACTGGATGTCCACAAGGACTTCTCCATGCAGCAGGTTGGGGTTCCTCCCAGCAGAGCAGGCAGGTCCCAGGGGGTGAGGATCTGTGTTAGCTTCTTGTTGGAACATGACCACAAACAGCAGCTTAGGACAGCAGAGATGGATTCTCTTTCAGTGCTGCGGGTGGATGCCTGGCATGGCGCTTACGGGCTGCATTCCTGTCTGGGGTCTTGGAGGGATCCATTTTCTTCTTCCTGGTCGGCAGAATTCAGTCTCTTGCACTTGTAGGACCAACATCACCATTCCCAGCTGGCCACTGAGTGAGGGCCACTCAACTGCTTGAGGCCACCTTTATTCTTTACCATGTGGCCCCTTTCCTCCATCTTCAGGGCCAGTGGCAGTGGTCACGTCACTCGTACGTGCTCACCTTCCTGCCCTCATCTTCTATTATGTTCTTCTGGCCCACTCCTCTCTTCCCTCCTTCACTTTTTTTTTTTTAATCTGATTACTTTTCTTTATTCTTGAACAGGAATCTTAAGTCTTCTATGGCCTCACAGAAGTAGTCAGATTGTTTGTTTTCAGTGGCAGTTTCTGGTTCCCAGAGTTTGAGTCAGGTGTGATGTATCCAAGAGTCCTGGCCTGTGGTCTTGACAGCTGAAGCAGTTGACAGGATCACTGTCAAGGGTCCCTCCCAAGTAGGTCCTTTTTATTCCATTTTGGCTCTAGTGGGTACACAGGCCACGCACATTGTGCAGAAAAATATTAAACGTCTTTTTCTCAGCGTATGTGGATCAAATGTCTTTCAGTGCTTAATGATGCACTCTGAAGGGGTAAGTGACCTTGACTGTGAGATCCCCATATCTCCGTCCAGTGATCTCAGTGGATGACCTCCAAATGATACAGGGAAGTAAAACTCCCGACCTGCTCCGGATGAGTTCATGTTCTCTAAAACTGAAGAATGAATTTTAGGAACAAACGGAGGTTGAGAGTAGAATATTTTATTGGGAAACAAAGCTTCTGTCTCAGAGAGGACAGAAGGGGGACTGGAGCGGGTTGCCCCCTCCTTCACTTTTAAGCGCCTCTGTGCTTACCCTGGACCCACCCTGGTAACCCAACACAGTCTTCCTGTTTCAAGGTCCCAGGTCACGTCCTCAGTGTTCCTTTTGCCTCATAACGTACTGTGTCAGTAATGTTTCCCGTTGCTGGGACAAAACCCCCACAATTTAGAGGAGCGATGATTCTGGCTCTGTTTTCAGAAGATTCAGTCTGTGATTGGTTGGCTTGGCCGAAGGTGTGGTGAAGCAGAGCTGCTCTCCTGTGGCAGCCAGCAAGCAGAGAGAGAGGGGAGAAGCTGCAGACAAGGAGATACCCTTCTGGTCACCCCGGGAACCTGCTCCTTCCAGGGCCCGGCTCCTCACGGCTCAGCTCTTGAGCTCATCAGTGGGTGAAGCCGCTGATAAGTACAGCACCCCGTGACCCAGTCGCCTTCCCAACGCCACAGCTCTGGACACTTGATTCTTTGGGGGACATGTTAGCTCTTACCCATAAAACATAAAATGTCAGGAAAGAACATGGACATCTCAGGGGACATTCTGCCCATCACAGAGCTCCCAGGGACAACAGATGGAGGCCATGGATTTCTTCAGGCCTGGGCTCAAGAACTGGGAGTGTCATTTTTATTAGTGAGACAGACACACATCCCAGATTCAAGAGGTGGGGAGATGACCTCCAGTGGAGGACCACTTGACTTCTCTTTATCCTTTCCATTGGCCTTAACCAGTGCATGTTGGCCTATAAAGGCTCCAAGCCTCTCAGTGCATTTACCCAGTACTCATTGTCCATGTTGCATGAAAGGTTTTCACTGGGCAAGACTATAAATCTAAGTTTCATAAAAATGGCACACTGTTGCCAAGAAATAAACCATGTGCCCAAACTGAAGGCCCCAGTAGCAATAACAAAACAAGGGTCTCTCAGTACTCCAGTGAGTTGGACCCAGTTAAGCCAGTTATACCCAATTCAAATCAGACAAAGGATGATCCCACTACCAGGATGGGTGCAAGGTGAGACCTTAGATGCCTCATACAGGGAACCACTCAGAGTTCAAAATTAGATTTACCAGTGGCTTCTTGTCTTAATTTATTGGGGGGAGAAAAGCCAAATTTAATTTCCACTGAAATTTCTACTCCCGCTCTTAACCCCACGTGTAAACCAGGTAGGGGTGAGCCTTTAAACAAAGAATTTGATTTTTCCCAGAGTATTTTGGTTCCTAGACCTATTTTTTTTTTATAAAGTTAATCTTTATTTATTTAGTGTGTGTGTGTGTGTGTGTGTGTGTGTGGTCAGCTCAGCCCACCAGGGGGCGGGGCTGGCTGTCATGTGGTGCTGGGGAATCGAACTGTGGTCCCTGTGCTTTGCCAAGCTTGTTCCAAGTAGGTGCTTTAGACCACTGAGCCATCTCACCAGCCCCCCTAGACCTATTTGTGACATTAAGTTTAAAGGGAACTCTTACTGGACTGATGGATACAGGAGCTGATGTCACTATAATCAATAGCCGATCTTGGCCCTTTGCTTGGCCAACTA